GGAATAGTGCCCCATTATTGGTATTAGTGGGAGGAATAGTGTCCCATCACTGGTGTCAGTGGGAGCAATATTGCCCCACTATTGGTATTAGTGCAAGGAATATTGCCCCATCTTTGGTGTCAGTGGGAGGAATAGTGCCCCATTATTGGTATTAGTGGGAGGAATAGTACCCTATCATCAGTGTCGTTGGGAGGAATAGTGCCACATCATTGGTATCAGTGGGATTAGTAGTGCCCCATCACCGGTGTAAGCTGGAGAAATAGTGCTCCATTATTAGTATTAGTGGACAAAATAGTGCCCCATCGTTGGTGAAAGTCAGAGGAAGAGTGCCCCATCGTTGATGTCAGTCAGAGGAGGAATGCACCATCATTGGTATCAGTCAGAGGAATAGTGCCTGATCGTCACTGTCAGTACAATAGTGCCCCATCGTTGGTGTCAGTGGTAGAAATAGTGCCCCCACGGTTGGAAAAAGGCAATCCAAGGGCCAAAGTTTGGAAGCCACTGGACTAGAGAGACAGGACAAGGCATGAGAATATTGTGCATTACCCTTCACACTCACTCCTGTAGTGGCCATAGTGGCCTGGTTTGACAATGGTCTAATGAATGTCTAATATGACAGATGGCCCCAAGCTAACATGCAATAAACATAGGAGGACTGCCAATAAAAGTCAGTTCTACTAATTGTGTTTTGTGAGTCATACACTGAGAGAATTCACTGCTGACAAATGTGGTATGCAGTCAGACAGGTAACTGTACAAACATCAAGATTATCACCGTTAGAATAAGTTATCTGATGTCATTGTCAGATGACTATGGATCTATGGTGGCATGAAATTCTATTTAAAGATCATCAGAAAAAATTTTTGTTTACTCTTATTCTTAGCTCAAAGGTCTGTTTGGAGAAGGTTGAACAATGGAAACACTAGTCCCTTCTAAAAGTGCTTCTTTGTTTTTCACAAGATCGGATACAATGACAGGACACAATCTGAAAATAACCACTATGGTATTGCCACCTAGAGCCCTGGTTCAAACTGAATGTGGATTTGAAATTGCACTACGTCACTGTAGTAGAGCAACTTCAAAGCCGCTGGGCAGTGTGATTTCATGTGCAGCTTGCTTGACTTTGCACATGAAATCGGCAAAAATAGGGTGCGACTTGTCATGCGATTTTGAACTGTCAAATTGCATTGGTGTGAACAGAGGCTTAAGTTGAACCCCAGGAATTAGACAAAATATACCCTTGCAGTAACCCCCCTCTCCGCATTGCAAGGGTAAACTGTTTAGTTTGGGGGTGCAGGGATAAGGTATAATACTTACGCTATTTCTTGCGCCCTCTTTTCTTCTACCCGAATCTGCGGGCTGGGGGCGATCCCTTTGCGTCATCAAGCAGAGTGCAGGACTAAAAACCCTACATTGTGTATAAGGAAGCGAGCATGCGGTTAGGGCATGAAGGAAGCTTTGCAGGAAGGCAGGAAGGAATGTCCTTTTCATCAATGCATCCCTAGACTAAATGAGTATTTAAATCTTGAAATTGGTGGTGGTGGCGGCAGGGGGTTATTGAAAGGGTACGTTTTGCCTAATTCTTGGCATTCAGTTTTAAGGTGAATGAAAACCCAAAAGAAAAACTGTAATATATTGCGGGTAACCAGTCCTTAGATGTGGTGGCTTCATTCTTTTTCTTTTTCTTTTAGGCTTTTTTTCTTTTCTTTCACCGGATAATTTTGCAAACGTCCTGTCCCTTCATGTCTTTTTCTCTTCATGTGCTTTTTTCTCTATAGTATCAAAAGAGGGGGCCATGGTTGTCACACAGCAGGGGTGTCAAACTGGCGGCCCTCCAGCTGTTGCGAAACTACAAGTCCCATCATGCCCCTGCCTTTGGGAGTCATGCTTGGAACTGTCAATCTTGCAATGCCTCATGGGACTTGTAATTTGGCAACAGCTGGAGGGTCGCCAGTTTGACACCTATGTCACACAGGCCAGACCTCAAACATGTCTGTCTTTGTTTATGTCCATTACATGGCAGATTGACAGGGCTAGTAGATATTACATATTATTACATTTTTCATGCTTTCTTTAGGCTCTGTTCACATCTGTGCATTGTGTTTTATGTTTCTATAAATGATACTCTGCTGTGCCTAGTAATCTTATACCATGCAGAGTTTATTACTATATACTACTATATATAAAAGAACATCTGGCTGGCAGTGACCGTAACATGATTTCATTTATTGTAAGCTTTTAACAACAAGTACATACGGGAAAGATAAAAACATTACAGAGAGCAAATTTTTCCGAGTCTGGTGCTGCTCTCCAAGATTTAGTCTGGGAGGGAATGTTGTTATCAAAGGAGAAGTTCATGTTTGTAACCTGTAAGGGTTACACCCATATATTAGGATACTCCAGGACCCCCACCCCCTCCTATGACAGCATACAGGGGTCATTTTCCCCACAGTTGATGTCATGGTTTGAAATCTGCGTGGCTGTGTGAGGCTCAACCAGGACAGTCGCATCATTCATTCACAGATCTGTGAATTATTAAACTACAAGTCCCATCTGCCACTGCAGTAGACGGCTTGTAGTTCTCAATGAACTACAAGGGTGCTGATGAGCACATCCTCCAGCTTTCTAACAGGAAGCACATACAGGTGTATAGCCAGAAAGCTGCAGTAAGTGTCTGCAGGCCGGGAATGTGTACAACCTGTAATCCTGATGAAGCACACGGGCACGTAGGCGAAATGCGTTGACATAGGCAGCATCAACTAGGTCCTGGGCCATGCCTATCTGAGCAGGCGCGTGCTGATCCGCCTCACTCCGATCTGAGCGGGGTGGTTATCTACACACCGCCTCCACTACACTACTGCTTTGAACCATCAACATTACCACTAATACGGAGTCACACGCTTCAACCCGGCTCGGCTGTTTGGAAGCCATAATGGTCCAGTTATCCAGATGCATGCTCAGCCACCATTTTATCTACCTAAACTAGTGAAGTCTGCTATGCTGTCCATAGATACCCAGATCAAGTGGTGAGAGCCTGCAGAAACATGCTTAAGCCGTATCAATGCCACACCAGTCTTTTACACCTGCACAGTCTACAGCTATCACTTTGATTACCTATATGTAATGACATTGACAACTGTCCAAACTGTCTATGGATACCATTTCTGCACCCGTGTTTAAGCTGGACTGGGTTGAATCTACTTTACTGGTTTAGCAGTCCCTCAGCCTCATTACCATTAGGCTGCCAGCCTTCACTCCAGGCTGAAAATGTATGACATTTACATACTCGAGGTCAAACTGGACTGATCTGATCTAAAACACACTGGCTCATTAGCCTTCAAGTTATATCACTATTAGGCTGTCTGTCTTTACTTCAAGTTGAATACCAATGACATTGATGTCCATAATGTGATCTGGATACTATCGTTTATTCTATACTTGTGGCCAAGGTTTAATGGACAGTAGCCCCTTTTTGTTTTTTCAACTGTACACCATTGACATTGTTGTCTACAGATGTCCATTGAAGTTGGATGTTACTATCAATGTTTATACAATCTGTGATCAGGTTCAGTGGGTCACTGGCTGTCTGACCAAAAGCTTCCAATCATTCATCATCCAACTGTGATCCACTGACCATGGAAGCAATGGTTTGCAGGCTTCTCTGGTAAAAAAACAATTGCATATTTTTTTTCCTGCAAAATTATGTGCATATATAATTTTTTCTTTAACTGCTTTCTCGCCACTCTATAGCAGATGTACTGCTACAGGGCAGCAGGGGTGCACAAAATCACGTATATATGTGATTTTGCATTTCTGGGTAGGGGGCGCACGCACGGCCTACCTGCTTCGCCATTCACTGCTGTGTGAGATGGGGAAACAGCTCTCATTGTTTGAACACTGTTTGTGTGGAAGTAAATTAATGTTTTGACTGACATTCTGCAGTTTAGCCACAAGATGTCACTGTTTTTCTTACACAGCCTCAGACTGCATAGATATTTGTATATTCATGAAGAGGTGGGGTTTTGCACACAGAGTTGGAGGGAACAGGAAAGAGAGAGAGAAGCCATGTTTTGGGGCATGGTGAATAAGGGGCCGTGTGAGCTGAGAATCTGATGGCATCCAGGTGTGAAAGCATCCCTCAGTAACCAGAGATTGCTGCCAGGAATGCTGATGAGATTGCTGCCAGGAAGCTGATGAGATTGCTGCCAGGAATGCTGATGAGATTGCTGCCAGGAAGGCTGATGAGAGCAGAGGAACTAAGCAACTAAGCGAGACCGCATGCTTGTTGGAGAGACATTTGTTCTGTTCAGAGTCACAAGCGGATGCAAAGCAGACCCGGGTCGGTAAGATCGTGCACGCACCTCATTTCAATGTTGGCGCCTTGAGACTGAGTCAAGGCCTATAGTTAGTTAATTAGGGTCTCTGTTTGTGTCAGGCCACAAGTGTTGTTACTGATTATTGGAAGGACTCCAGAACTTAAAGTGACATTTCACATTGGAGAGCTGATAAAATCCTACAAACTCAAGCCAGACTGGCGTTTTGCTCAGAAGGAATACTCAGGCACGTGCTACAGGACCAGTTATGGGAGGGGGAATTTTGTAAGATTGTAAGCTGTTGTGCTGCACCGCAGGCTAGCCCATACCGTACGCTTTCCTGCTCTTTTAGGGTAATAACAGGTAAGGTGTGGCAGCTTATTTGGGCCCGCCAGTAGGTAAATTGCTTCACTTTCTACCTTCATCCATCAGAAGGCGCCGTGCTGTGCAGCACAAGGGTCTCAGCCTTTGGGCTGGGTGTATGTAAATTTATTGTATGTTTCCAGCATTTGTGGTTGTGTTTATTTGCCACATCTAAGTAAAATTCTGTTGTGGCAAAAGCTGGTGTTGGGGTTGCTTTCCTCGTTTGGGACTTCACTGTATCCTGGGGAGCCCACCCCGGTACATGGCTTACAGCTGCAGCTGTCAATCAGCAGTGATTACCCGCCAGTGCCCGGTGATTACCAAGCATCTCCGACGGGGAGGAGGACTATTTTGTTTACTAACAGTTCTCCTCCCTGTGAGCTCTGGCACACTGCTCTTGGATGGCTGTGCACACTCTAGTAAAACACTCCCTGCACGCAGTTAACCCTCTGATCGCCCCTCATGGTAACCCCTTCCTGCCCAGTTCCATTAGTACAGTGTCAGTGCTTTTTTTTAGCACTGATCACTGTATTGGTGTCACTGGGGATATCAGTGACACCAAGTCAGTTCCTCCCAGTGTCAGAATGTCCGACACAGTCCCGCTATAAGTCGCTGATCACCGCCATTACTAGTAGAAGAAAAAAATTCCAGTATCTATACCGCCATTTGTAAACGCTATAACTTTCACGTAAACCAATCAATTTACACGTATTAGAATTTTTTTTACCAAAGACATGTAGCAGAATACATTTTGGCCTAAATTTATGATGAAAATTGATTTTTAAAATTTTTTTACTGGACATGTTTAATAGCAAAAAGTCAAAAATATAGTTTTTTTCTCAAAAAATTGCCGGTCTTTTTTTTTATTGCGCAAAAAATTAAAAACAGGCGATCAAATACCATCAAAAGACAGCTCAATACATGGGAAAAAAGGGCGTGTATTTTATTTGGGTGCAGTGTTGCATGACGATATAATTGTCAAAGTAACACAGCATCGTAACGCAAAAAGTAGCCTGGTCAGGAAGGGGGATAAATCCTCTGGACGGCAAGTGGTTAAAGGTAAACTTGGCTTTTAAAGAACACAGAACAGAAAGCTGAATGCTTCAAATTGACTGCAAACACCCACACCACAAAATATGTTCCTACAGGCAATAATTATTAAAAGCTAAAAAATAAAATCTTTGTGGCTCACATCCAAAGGTAAAAAAGCTATAAAAAATAAGAAAAGGCCATTTAAAAACATAATAATAAAGGAATACTATCATCTACAGAAAGTTACGAGAAAAGTCAGGTTACAAAAAAAGTAGAACTAACCCCCCAAAATTCTTTCAAATATATTTTTAGGAAAAAAGCCAAATGTGAGGTTGTTGGCCATTTACAAGAGAAAAGAGTTGGTGACTGGGAACAAAGAGAATGCAAATTTGTTAAATACCCTTTTCAGCTCTGTGTAGACAAAGAAGGCGTGGTCCACAAACATTTAGCTAAATAAAGCACCTGAACCACATGGCTTGCACCCATGTGTCTCAAAGAGTTGAGCTCTGTTGTTTCAGAGCCATTGTTTCTAATTTTAAGAGATGCTTTAGTGACTGGCATACTATTACTGGATTGTCACAAGGCCAATGTGGTGCCTACTGTATAGTACACAATATTTTAACACCTTCCCGCCCGGCCTATAGCAGATTGACAGCCAGGCGGGACACTCGCCGTTGTGACTGGGCGTCATATGACGTCCTGTCAAAACGAGATGCTCACACGGCCGCGGGGCAGCGCCGTGGCACGATCTTTCACCGGCTGTGTCCCGGGACACAGCCGATGACATATCACTACACGGCCCGTTGCCAGTATCATGTGACCTCTGTGACCAATCACAGCAGATCACATGTCAATCGTATACAGTGGAAGGCTTCCTGTCATGCCATCCATTGTATATAATTATGTTGTTAGCTGTGACTGGTCAAGGCAGTCACATGATACAGACAGGGCCAATCACAGCCCATCTGTATCATGTGATCAGCTTTGCCCAATCACAGCTAATCACAACAAAAGACTGAATGAATCAGTTTCATTCAGTAACAATGATTGCAAATATTAATGAAATACATTGGTATTAGTATCATAATGTGTTAAAAAAAATCCTGATCACTTGTCCAGAGTAGTTCAATGTTACTATGGTAATATTGTATTGCTTTGGTCACAGCGTGCTGAAAAATAAAATAGTAAAAAAAAGAAAAAATGTAATAACAAATTTAAAAAAATAGAAACATTTGAAAAAAAAACACAAATTCAATTACTATTATTATTTTCACCAAAGAAATGTAGCAGAATAAATTTTGACCTCAATTTATGAAGAAATGTTATTTATTTGCAAAATTTTATAACAGAAATGAAGAAAAATGTGTTTTTTTCAAAAGTTTCAGGTGTTTTTTGTTTCATTTAGCAAAAAAATTAAAAACTCAGTGGTGATTAAATACCACCAAAAGAAAGCTCTATTTGTGTGAAAAAAATTATAAAAATTTCATATGGGTACAGTGTTGCATGACCGTGCAATTGTCATTCAAAATGCGACAGCGCTGAAAGCTGAAAATTGCCCCGGGCAGGAAGGGGGTATAAATGCCCGGTATTGAGGTGGTTAAAAAGAATCAATGTCTTTACCAAGTAACTACAGAGCAGTTAGTTTAACTTATTCTTAAGAAGAGGATATTAAAGAATAAGTAAATTCAGCACTTTGTATTCATGATATATGTCTGCTGTACCATGTACAGTACTTGTATCCTGTTCTCTTTGTATTTCTTCCTTTGCATGAAATCCCTGGTGTTCCTGCCAGTATTTCTGATTTCCTATTAAAAACTGACTGCACTAGACAGGAGAGCACAATGTGGTCAGTTCTCTATCTATGCTAGGAACTCAGTTTGCCCTCCTCCAATTATCACACTTGTCCTGACACACAGCCCCCTTCCCGCACAGCCATTCACTGGGAAGCTCAATGCACTGCTGTTACTCCTCCCCCAGCTCTCAGGGCATATTAGTTATTTATCATGGCTTTTTTTATATCTATACACAAATGTTTTGCCTTTCATTTCTATTTTGAACTGGATGGGTTGTTTCACAAAGTGAGGGTTTACAGATACTTTAAGGGGAGATATGATCACCATGTATAAATACATAAGTGGCCCATATACTGTAGTGAAATTGGTGTACAATTATTCACTTTACGGTTTTTACAAGGGACAAGCTTCAGGTTTGGAGCAAAAGATTTAACCTCCACATATGAAAGGCTTATTCACAGTAAGAGCTGTGAATATGTGGAATAGGCTCCATCAATAACTAGTTCTGGCCAGCTCAGTACACTATTTTAAAAAAGAGCTGAATGCTTTCCTAAGTAAAATATAACCGGATATTAATAACACAGGGAATTTTGATTCGGGGAATATAAAAAACTGTTTTTGTGGGGGAACAGGAAGAAATTTATTTTTCCCCCGCCGGAGTAAATTGGACCATGCTTTTATACAGGTTTTTTTTCCTTCCACTGGATCAACGTTTTGTACAGGAATCTATATATGGAGGATTTTTATTTATTTATTTTTTTTCATTGAACTACATCAGCCTTTCTTCACCTTTTCAATACAGAGGAACCCTTGAAATACCTTTCCAATCTCAGGGAACCACTACTAAAATGACTATATATACAACTAATGATATATTAGTGTGATAGTCATTATGAAGAATGTGGCCATTGGGAAGAATTACCCCTTTCAGATACCTAAAAGGATCAATGGTGTCAGTGGGAACTTATCTGAGATCCAGAAATTGCTCATTTCTAAAGGAACCCCTAGCAACCTCTGGAGGAACCCTGGTTGAGAAACCCTGAAAAAGATGGACCTGTGCCTATTTTCAACCTAAGGCTGGCCATACACTATACAATTTTCTTACAATTTTCTGTCCAATTTCTGCCCAATTTTTTTTAGATTTACCTTCAACTATGTAGTGCAAGGGCCAGCCTAATTGGATACAATTGAAAGTGTTGCTTAGGTTTGACCTCATATGATATGGTTTTATGTAAATCTAAAGCAAAATTCTCAAGAAAATTGTATAATGTATGGCCAGCCTAACTATGTAGCTATGTAACCATTTTGTTATTATCGCTGACACATGTTGTTATAGAAGGGTAAGCTCCTATTAGGTTACAGAAGCTGAAAGTTCTGGTTCAGACCTGATCTAGTACTAAACAGCAGAAATTTTAATTCTATAGATTGTCTTTGGCCATTAGAGGAATAGGCAACCGAAAACAAAAAGTATTATTTCTATCAATGCTTTTGTGTTTTTCTGAAGGTACTTTGGGCTTATGGTATGTGGCCAGTTGGACACAGACATGGATTGGACCTGTTTTTCTGTAAAATGATCCTTATTTCCACCAGGCAGGATGCTATAACAATCTATGTTGGTAATTATATAAATAATGTTATATTCAACATATTCTGGATAGTTTCCACTAAAACTGCTGTATATTGTAGTTGCACGGTATGTCGCCATGTGCTTCATGCTCTGGTCTCTACACCACAAACACCTGCTTTATCATCATCAGATTACTGACAAGAAGCCAACAGCCATCTGTCCCTTCAAGGAGGGAATTCTATAAATTGTAGAGTTTATAATTCTGTGTAAGTACTATTATAGTGAAGTGTCATACTGAAAGTTGTACTTTCATCATTTACGTATTCCCTGGAGCTCTGTCCTGTTGATGGTCATGCAAAGTGTGTGGGATGGACTTACTCTTTGTTACCCACATTGAAGAAAAATATATTTGAAATATATTTTAAAAATATTCTTCCCAAGTATATTGCCATATATTTGAAATGTTACAATTTTGGCCATATTCAATATATTTCAAAATAAATTTATATATATATTGTATGTTGAAATGCATTTTTGTTACAAAATATATATAAAATTATATTTTTAAAACTACATTTCAAATATACTGTATGTCTTTAAAAATACAAATGTACATTTTTGGAATGCATTTACAAATATATGTAAAGATATATGTTAAAATGACTTTTTTATATGTTAAAAAAAATCTGAAGAATATTTTTTTAAAAATATATATTTAAAAAATATATGTTTTTTAAATATATTCTTCAGATTTTTTTAACATATAAAAAAGTCATTTTAATATATATCTTTACATATATTTGTAAATGCATTCCAAAAATGTAGATCTGTATTTATTAAAGACATACAGAATATTGAAATGTATTTTTAAAAATATTTTTCATATATTTTGTAATAAAAATGCATTTCAACATACAGTGTAGTGTATAAATATAATATATATATATATATATATATATATATATAAATATATATATATGTGTGTGTGTGTGTGTGTGTATATATAAATATATATATATTGAATATGGCCAAAATTGTAGCATTTCAAATATATGTCAATATATTTGGGAAGAATATTTCTTAAAATATATTTCAAATACCCGTGGGTTTTCTGCAGGTTAGTTGCCCTCTCCCATACAGCTGCATTATGTCCCGCAGGACATAATGTAACTCTATGGGAGAGTGCAGCTAACTTGCACTAAACCTGTGAGTAAGCTGCTGCTGCCGCAGTGTGGTCAAACCACATCGGAACAGTGTACAGTTGGCCACATAGGTTGTGGACTTGATTGAATTTACCAACAGCTATGTAGGGCAACGGACTAAATGATTGGATATAAGTTGTATGGGTTGTTTAGGTTGGCCATTGCACTTCACAGATGTGAGTAAGGCCCCATGTACACGAGACACTTCTGAACAATGGAAACTCACTGCTGGAAAACGTAGGTTAAAAAACATCTGTTTAGCCGCGTTTGCATTCCTGTGTTTGTGCGCGTTTTTGTGCGCGTTTATACACCTTTATGAGCGTTTGCATTTAGAAGTGTTTCTTTTAAAGATAACCTCAGGAGACCTTCAAAAATGCCCAGAATGCACTGAAAACAGTAAAAACTTAACAGATATTTTGGGTTTGAGATGTTGAGCGAAAACCATTTTTTATGTACGGAATATTTTTGATTTTGAATTTTGTGGTTAGCTCTCTTCCCCTTATTTAAATATTTTAAGACACAACTCTGTTAGGATCATTTTTTCTTTTAACCACTTGCCCTCCTGAGGATTTACCCCTCTTCCTGACCAGGCCATTTTTTGTGTTACGGCGCTGTGTTACTTTAACTGACAATTGCACGGTCATGCAATGCTACACCCAAATTAAATTTAAGTTCTTTTTTTCCCATGAATTGAGCTCCTGCACACTGCTATGCATGGCTTTGCATAACAGAGCCATGCAAAGCAGTGTGCTTACAGTGAAGCATACACACACAGCACACAGTAAAACAGCACATAGCACACAGTTAACCCTTTGATCGCCCCTCATGGTAACCCCTTCCTGCCCAGTGCCATTAGTACAGTGTCAGTGCTTTTTTTTTTAGCACTGATCACTGTATTGGTGTCACTGGGGATGTCAGTGACACCAAGTCAGTTCCCACCAGTGTACGAATACCCGCCGCAATCCCGCACTCCCACTATAAGTTGCTGATCGCCGCCAGTACTAGTAAAAATTTTAAAAAAAACTCCAGTATCTATACTGCCATTTGTAAAAGCTAAAACATTCACATAAACCAATTAGTTTACACGTATTGGAATTTTTTTTTAGCAATGACATGTAGCAAAATACATTTTGGCCTAAATTTATGATGAAATTTGATTTTTTTTATTTTTTTACTGGACATGTTTAATAGCAAAAACTCAAAAATATAGTTTTTTTTTTTTCTCAAAATTGTCAGTCATTTTTTTTTATTGCGCAAAAAAATTAAAAACGCACAGGTGATCAACTACCACCGAAAAGACAGCTCAATTAATAGGAAAACGGTGTAAATTTCAGTTGGGTGCAGCGTTGCATTACCACGCAATTGTCAGTTAAAGTAACGCAGCATCGTAACGCAAAAAAAATAGCCTGGTCAGGAAGGGGGATAAATCCTCTGGACGGCAAGTGGTTAAAGGTAAACTTGGCTTTTAGAGAACACAGAACAGAAAGCGGAATGCTTCAAATTGACTGCAAGCACACACACTGCAAAATATGTTCCTACAGGCAATAATTATTAAAAGCTAAAAATAAAACCTTTGTGGCTCACATCCAAAGGTAAAAAAAGCTATAAAAAAATAAGAAAAGGCCATTTAAAAACATAATAATAAAGGAATACTATCGTCTATAGAAAGTTACAAGAAAAGTCAGGTTACCAAAGAGAGTAGAACAAACCCCCCAAAATTCTTTCAAATATATTATTAGGAAAAAAGTCACATATGAGGTTGTTGGCCATTTACAAGAGAAAAGAGTTGGTGACTGGGAACAAAGAGAATGCAAATTTGGTAAATACCTTCTTCAGCTCTGTGTAGACAAAGAAGGCGTGGTCCACAAACAGCTAAATAGCTAAATAAAGCACCTGAACCACATGGCTTGCACCCATGTGTCCTCAAAGAGTTGAGCTCTGTTGTTTCAGAGCCATTGTTTCTAATTTTAAGAGATGCTTTAGTGACTGGCATACTATTACTGGATTGTCACAAGGCCAATGTGGTGCCTATAGTACACAGTATTTTAAAAAGAATCAATGTCTTTACCAAGTAACTACAGAGTAGTTTAACTTATTCTTGAGAAGAGGATATTAAAGAATATGTAAATCCAGCACTTTGTATTCATGATATATGTCTGCTGTACCATGTACTTGTATCCTGTTCTCTTTGTATTTCTTCCTTTGTGTGAAATCCCTGGTGTTCCTGCCAGTCCTTCTGATTTTCTATTAAAAACTGACTACACTAGACAGGAGAGCACAGCGTGGTCAGTTCTCTAGCTATGCTAGGAACTCAGTTTGCCCTCCTCCAATTATTATTATTATACAGGATTTATATAGCGCCAACAGTTTGCTCATAATTTACAATATATTTACAATATAAAGGGAGACAATACAGCAACAATACAGTTTAGTACAAGAGGGTTACCACCAAAAGAAAGCTCTATTCGTGGGGAAAAGAGGACATAAATTTCATTTGGGTGCAGCGTTGCATGACCGCGCAATTGTCAGTTAAAGTAACGCAGCATCGCATCGGGAAAAATGGCCTGGTCAGGAAGGGGGGTAAATCCTCTGGAGGGCAAGTGGTTAAATACAGTTTTCTAAATTTGTTAATATCTTCAGATGCCTTCAAGTAACATTCTGGTAACCAGTATGTAAGCAGCCACTTCCAAGGGGGTTAAACGTTTTTTCTTCTGTTGTGTTCATGCTCTGACGTTACCCAGGTCAACTGTGTTTGTGTACAGCCTGAATGTTACATCGTATCTTTTTGCAACATTTGTTCTTGGTTGACCTGCTAGGTTGATGGATCTGAAAAAGGAAGGGTTAACTCTGCTGGCCAGGTTTCCGGCTATTTTTTCAAATGTTACCACCCCCTACAGGTCATACCATATAAATAGGGAATCATTTGTGCCCCGAGAGGTTCATTTGGGGAAAAGACTGCCAAGATGTAGCCATTACTCTGTTGGTCTGAGCCCCTTTCTGGGCAGTCCAGACAGGGTTCCCAATGGAGTCTCGAACCTGAGGACCTACATAGACTTATAGCTGCCAGTCATTGACTTACTGACTTTTTGTGGATTACTTCCAATTCATGGGCTCTAAAGGATTACTTGCTGCCTAAATGGCTTCTTGAGAAGAATTACTTTTATGGAATTTGCTGCTAACTCAGGTATGACTACCTCATGATAGACATGTCTGTTTTGTTCAGATTAATATTTTGTATGAAAATTTGATTTTCTGAAATTTGGACGCATCCAAATTTCCGAATGGACATAGTAACGAATATCAACAAATCTGAATTTGTTTCATTTAGATTAATTGTGAATAGCTGGTTGTCAGGCATGGGTGCCCGCCACGTCCTTAACAACCATGACTCATCTGCTGTCAGTGGGATTCCCTGTTAACAGCAGGATTTAAACAAAAGAATTGCCTGTATTAAAAAAATGAAAAAATAAAAACAGCATGGGAGTATCTCCAGTCCATACCAGACTCAAAGTGATGGATTTTGAGAAGAACCCGTCATCAAAATGTTTTAAAAAAATGGTGTAGGGTCCCCTTCAAAATCCATACCAGACCCTTATCCGAGCATGCAGCCCAACAGACCAGGGAGGAGTACCCCTACTCATTCACCAAAAAAAATGTCAAAAGTAAATAAAAACACAAAGACAGTTCTTGACAAGTCCTTTGAAAAAAAATAAAATAAAAACATGGCACCTGATGTAAATCCAGTGTCAATCTCAATGACCCGCACAAAAAAAACGAAAAAAGTTCAGCTCGCTCATTCCTCCTTCCCCCTTTTGCTGGCCCGCCAAGTTTGAATGCTTGCCTGGTATGAATTTGGGAGTGACCCTACAATGTTTTTTTTGGCATGGGGTTCCGCTTAAAACCCATACCAGCCCTTAGGGACTGGTATGCATTTTGGGGGGTGCCCATGGCATTTGTTTTTAAATTTTGGCTTATGGTCCCCCTCAAAATCCATACCAGATCCAAAGGGTGGTCAGTTGACATGTAAGCTTAAGGATGCATTCACATTAGCAATAAGCACTGTGTGTTCTCTATATCTCTATGAGATATATTTGTTTAAACAAGGAAAAATTCAGGCTCATATTTTCATAACTTAAAATATCTACATTTCTAACTACTGACTAATCAGTGCCACTAGTTCTTCAGAAGTTCAACCTGCTGTGCTGGTTTGACTGAGTCTGGGCTGGAGTCACGGAAGGTGTAAAACTTCCCATCAAGGATATACAGATTATGCACAGTCATTGTCTCTGTGCATTCCCTTTTCATCATATTCTCATATTCTCAAATGGGGTTTTTTTCTGCTGTCCTATTACTGTTTTCTTTCTTTTTTTTTTTGCTCTTTCACATTTGCTTGGTAATGGGTAATTGTAGGGATGATTTAGGGATGATTTAGTTCTCATGCACACTGAACGTTTGCTCAGCTCCTCCAAACGCCTTTTTTCCTGGCAAAAGACAAATTGCTTAAAAATGCACTCGCATTTTTGTGCATTGCGCGTGTTTTTACCCGTTATTGCATTCTATTGGCCAGAATTTTAGTTTATGCATTTTTTGTCAGTGCTGTCAATGGGATTCCCTGTTAACAGCAGAATTTAAACAAAAGAATTGCCTGTATTAAAATAAATAAATAGCAGCATGGGAGTCTCTCCAGTCGCTTAAAAATGCACGTGTTTTTGTGAATTGCGCATGTTTACCAGTTAATGCATTTTATTGGCCAGAATAATAGTTTATGGGGTTTTTTTTCATCCTGTAATCCTCCTCTTCTAAATGTATGCATAGGGACATAGGCTAACATACAGGTGCATTTACAGGCTGGAAACAAAATCGCCAAACGCCCATAAAAGTGGTGTTTTTTGCCGAGTTTGGATTAGGCCTTAAGTGGGACATTTGTAATTTTTTTGTTTTGTTTGGTTTGGATAGAGTAAGGAAAAGTTATAACCGCGTTCCAGCTCTTGTCCACACTGAGGACATGAGAAATGTGAGTTAAATTGCACCCAAAAAAAAAATAAATCTCCTTTTTGACAGTTGTCACCATAACTGGTGTCCAAGACTCAATGCAGTATTAGAAGGTAGTTTAATTAAGCAAGATAACTGGGTAACTCACTAGATAGCAGTGGATAAAAGGCATGTGTCTCAGAGTGGACGTCATTTCTGGTATGGATCCTGGAGGCTGATGGAGAGGGTGGATGAGCATCTAGGGGCCAAGGCTGCCAGGGGAGCCAGGTCACCCGATTCCACACTGTTCGTGTCCAGTGTCCAGCGGCTGTGGCTGTGATGGAAACCAAGCTGGAACGTAGATGGCTGCCGGGGGGTGGACGTGACGTCACCACGTGAGTGTAGTGCTGCAAGAAGGGGGCGGTAACACTTTTCGAAGCATCGGCTTCTTCGTCAGACCTTCCGAGTTTTTTTTTTGACCAAAAGAAAAAAATTTTTATGGTCACAAAGTACAAAAATGCAGTTTTTTCAGCATTAGAGCGTTTTACAGCTAAAAAAACTCCTCTAGAAACCCACTACTCCTGGGTTTTTTTTTCCAGCCAAAAAACCTCCAGCCAAAACACGTTGATTACAGTCTGTGTGCATGGACACATAGGATAACATGCTGGGTGGTATACTGGCTGGAGAAATGTCAAAAGTCAAAAACAGTAGCTGTAAAAAACGTCAAAAGTGTGCATGAGGGCTTAGTGGATGTTAGGACCTTTATTTGAAATATAAAACAGAGATTGCTCAGGAGCAAGGTGGGCATGAAGCAATATTGATTTTTTATGTAGTATCTAGTTTAAATTAAAGTTCATGGTTAAGGGCTTGTCTTAAAGCCCCAAACCAGGCTGCTGTTAAAAATTTCCCATGTAGTGGGTTTCCACTTATATATACTGAAAAATACTTACCCTATTCCATGCTCCCCCAGTAGCCGATGCTCTCCTGCACTGTTTGATGCTTCTGGAATGTAGACAGGCCCGTACAATGCAGGGCTACTAGTTATG